GCGTACAGCGCGTGTCGGAAACGATACGCCTGTTTCAATAGTTCTGTATTTTGAACGCTCTATAGAAAGTATAAAGGTCTATTATTTATCATACTTACAGGTTGTGATTCAGTGGAGCAGCTGGTCCAAACAAACAGGATACTGATCCATCTTTCAACAGCAAGCGTTTTGTGAATCCCGCGTTGAACTCCCCGAGATTAGAGAAGCAGTCGTCAGTAGAATGACGTGTTTGTGGGCGGGGTCAAGTTGTTCGCGGCCGGCCAACGTAGAACATGGGTGCGCATTATGCAAATGTGTTACCCTGTGACGTGTAGCCGTCACGGAAGTGGGATTCAAATTACTAACAACTCGTTTCAGCTGTACAGAGTCGATTCTTTATTTTGGGAGACAATAACTTTATTTATCGTGCACTTTCAGCTTTACAACTTTGCAGATCGTTTACATTCACATACAGCTACATTACACACTGCATGAAAGGCAATAATGGAAATGGCATAATAGGGGCACTTTATATAATAATTGCATCCAAGAAACTATTACAGTTCTTTTTCCAGAACAATAAACCCATTCAAATATTTAACTTATTGATTTGCCATATAAAGTAAATCAAATGAAATGAGAAAATAGATTTATATAGGCCTAACACTTCCTTTCAACCTCTAACTCTATGTAAGCTCCATCAAATACTACTGAGCCCTATCAAAGCTCTGGAGGGGAGAGGGTGAAATCCAGTTAAATCTGCTCCTGCTATTAGCTTGGAGCCATTCACAAGTCCCTGTGGTATACGGTTGTGACAGCTGTGGTCAGGACCAGCAAAGAGAACGTAAGGCTATAGGCAGCCCACTTTAATGAATAGAGCGGCATGCTTGTCATCAGCACTCGAAACACAGGCCTGATGCAGATACAAAGCACTTTAATAAAGCATCTCAAAAGTGCTTCATTAAAATCGCACTATTTATAGTTGTTGCGATGATTTGCTCTTTTTAATCATATATTTCATTCACTGCAGGACCAAGTATTCCCTGCATGAACAAACTGCAGGGTAAATTGATGCCAGTAATAAGATCTTATATCCTGCAGACAAGCTGGTAGTCTTTATACAGCTCAAAATATCACTGAATGCTTGCATCAAATGTGAGGTGAGGTTTAAAAAAGTGAAAACTCCTAAATCAGAGTGGATTAAATAAAAATAACTGCTGTTAATATTTCCCTCAGCTCTTGCCACCGTGGCCATGTCGGCAACATGGGAAATTCCCCTTCTTTCATGCTCTGCTCTAGCAGCAATTTGCAGACAAGCAATTACTCTGATTGCCGAGCTGTAATGGCCATAGGTTAATATACGATTGCCTCTCTCTATTGTAATTCCAGTGCCCCTAGTGCATAAAACTCATTTAATTTGTACAGTTATTGGTATAGTGTTCCACATCAGTGCGATTCATGCAATCAATGATTATGTTATAGCGACAAAACAGCTATGGATACTTTTCCATTAAATGAAATTCATCTATAAGAAAAAATTATGATCATAATTACATAATCTTGATTTGGAGGTACGATTGCTAAATCTACGACTTCATTCTTCTGTATTATTGAAAGTGTCATTTACAGTTGATTCCAGACTTATAACTTTTTGACATTTAGTATTGCAGCTATGGAATGTTTTACTGTTCA